CATTTTAACACTTTCAAAGTGATCAACTCGTCAAGAAGTGTGCTTTGTTTTATAAAACTTAAATGAAACAGTGGAACATTGTTATTGCGAAACAACGTCCACTTTCATTCGGTTTAACATTTCACCCCTTACCCTACACCCGTGCTAATGGAATTAGCTACTCATTACGGAAACTAAATAACATAAATAAATGACATAAAGGAAAGACATGAATGTAAACGACTGAAAGTAAATGACGGAAAGTAAAGACGGAAAATAAATGATAATAAAAGTAAATAAATAAATAAAAGACAAAAGATGAAGACAATAATTAACTTAAAAGCTTGAGAGTGTTTTTGGAGTACAAAATGGAACTCAAAATGTCCAGGAGATGATATTCAAAAAAGAAGCACAATGCTCTCTTTTATACCTACAAAAGTGCTAAAGACAAAAACATAAAAAGGTGGTGAAGGTACATTTGAGGAGACAAGGAAAAGGAGGTATCCTTTCCATCACAAACGGTCATCAAAAAGTCTTCTCCACTCTTTTCACCAGCTGTTTGAGGACCAAAACGAGGGCTTCTTCAGCTCAGACCTCCATCCTTGACAATGGCTTAACCAATAAGCACTTCTCCAAAAAGCCAAAATGGATCCGGGCAACGCTACTGGAATGTTGCAGCATTATAGTGCAGTGTTGTAAGTCAAAAGTTGTCATCTACTCCAAATTGTTGTAAAAACAAATTCATCATCACACTTAGCTCCAAACATAACAAATGGAAAATAAGGAAGTAAAAATGACTCAAGGTTGGGATAAACTAGGAAAATCTGCCTATTAAACATAAGAAATGGGTACTTTAAGCATGTAATAAACCATGCTTATCAGATAGCATACTCGATTCATTAAGTCCATAAACGCTGCAGGTGCGTTCGTAAGTCCGAATGGCATTACGAGGAATTCGTAATGCCCATAATGGGTCCGAAAGGCAGTCTTGGGTACATCTTCCTCCCGTACCTTGAGTTGGTGATAGCCAGACCATAAATCGATTTTAGAAAAATATCTCGCTCTTTGTAACTGATCAAAAAGTTTGTCAATTCGCGGTAATGAATATTTGTTCTTTATAGTTACCTTGTTAAGCTCACGGTAATTTATACACATCCTGAAAGTTCTGTCTTTCTTCTTAACGAACAAGACTGGAGCACCCCAAGGAGATGTGCTTGGTCGGATAAAACCCTTGTCCAATAATTCCTGCAATTGTTTCATCATTTCTTTCATTTCTGCAGGTGCGAGACAATACGGTGTCTTTGCTATCGGAGCTGCACCCAGTATCAAGTCTATACGAAAGTCTACTTGACGATCGGGTGGCAATTCATGCAGATCACCTGGAAATACATCTGTATATTCATAAACAATCGGAACGTCCTTCTCTGTCTTCTTCAATTCCTTCATCGCATCCATAACATAAGCTAGAAAAGTTGAACAACCCTTGATTAGATAACGACGAGCTTTTAGCATAGAGATTACCTTTATGTCGATCACACGCCGCTCCCCGTAAATATATTGGTAATTCCCCTTGCTAATTGGTATCCGAATCATTCGTTGTGAACATATAATGTTGGCTTGATTCTTTGCCAACCAATCCATACCAATAACAACATCGAATCCATGTATATCAGTTGGAATGAGATTGATAAGAAATTCATAGTCATCTAAAAGCAATGTACACCCTCTAAATACTTTATCAACAACTAATGGTACTCTGCTCGCAGTGTCAATAGTGAAAGGTTTTTAAAGCGTAGTTGGCACAGATTCAATATAACGAATATATTCATTTAACACAAAAGAATTTGTTGCACCAGAATCAAATAAAATACAAGCAGGCCAAGAATTAACAAGAAATATACCCGTAACAACGTCGGGATTGTTCATGGCTTTCTTTGCGGTAATTTGAAACGCCCTGGCATGAGATTTCTGGACCTCCTCCTTTTTGGTCGAAGCCCCCGCTGTATGTATCGGTCGTTGCCTCAGTTGTTATATCGACCTCTTACTTTCCTCCAGTCTATTCTTTGTACATTCTCGCATACAATGACCTAACACACCACAATTATAACAT